AACGCCTCCAGGTACTTGCGTTGGTGCACCCGCATGCACCGCTTCTCCACGTCGCGCTCGATGTGAAGCCCGAGGTAGAAATTCACGTCACCAGAGGAGGGTGAGAAGATCAGGATGTCATCCACGTACACCACCATGAAGCTCCTCTGCTCCCCCTCGCCAAGCATGAACAAGGAGTGATCGGCCGTTGAGGGAGTGAAGCCGATCTCTTCGAACACTTCGCGCAGCTTCATGTACCATTGCCTAGGGGCCTGCTTCAGCCCATAGAGGGCCTTCTTCAGCTTCCACACTCTGCCACTACCATCATCAAACCCCTCTGGCTGCGCCATAAAAATCTCCTCCTCAAGGATTCCGTTGAGGAACGCCGTAACGATGCCTAGATGCTTCACCACCCAACTTTTGATCGCGGCTCCCGCAAGTAGGGTTCGTAGCGTCGTCGGCTTCACCACAGGAGCGAATAGCTCATTGAAGTCCACCTTATCCTTTTGCAGGTACCCCTTGGCCACCAGCCTTGACTTGTAACGCTCGATCTTGCCGTCGGCGTCGGACTTGATCTTGAAGAGCCACTTGGACGTTATCGCCGTACGCCCCTCCGGTAGCTCCACCAACTCAAACGTGTCGTTCTCCTCTATGCTCTTCAGCTCACTCTCCATGGCCTTCTTCCACTCCTCAGCATCACTACTCTCCAAGGCTTCCTTGAGAGTTGCTGGTTCTCCCGGCATCTCCACCGGAGAGAAGAACATGAAGGCACACTCCTCATAGTCACTCTCCTCGTCGTCTCCGACCATCATTGCCGCTCCAGCTAGGGCCGTCTTGCCCTGCTTCCCCGGCGCATCATAGGTCAGCCTATTTAGGGATTGGACTCTTCTCTTGCCTCTTCCTTCCTCCTCAGCTGCAGGGACTTGAAGGCCTTGGCGTTGCTGTGGTGTAGCTCGGTTCCGTGGAGCGCTCGTAGTGCGGGAAGGATGTGTCGGTGCACGCTCGCTCACTTGCTGCACCTCCTCCTCTTCTTCCTCTGCATCCTTGGCCTCCTCTCCCCCATTCACAAGGGAAGATTGCCTTGTGGTGGTGCTGCCGCTGCTCAGCTCCAAAGGCAGCTCCACGTGCTCCAAGCCATAACTCTTCACCTCCACAAACCGCACACCTATCTTCGCCTCATTCTCCGCCTTCCAATCCTTGTACATGAAGTTCTCCATGAACTTGCAGTCCTTGCTCACCATGAACTTCTTGGTGAATGGGTCCCAAAGAAGCCACCCCTTGCTGTTTTGAGCCATGCCCAAGTGCACGGCCCACACCGCCTTGGCACCAAGCTTGTTGTGCCGAAGATGCTTAGGTACGAGCGCCATGCACATGCACCCGAACACCCGAAGCATATCCACCTTTGGCTTCCTTCCAAGCCACTCCACATAGGGCACCCATTTGTCTGCTCCCACATGAGTCAAAACTCTGTTCTTGGCCACACACGCGCTCCGCACCGCATCAGGCCAGAAATAGTCGGGTAGCCCGGCTTCAATGAGCAACCCGTGTGTCGCCTCCGTGATCGTCCGGTTCGCTCGCTCAGCGATGCCGTTCATTGCAGGGGAGTATGGCATGGTGAGGGAGTGCCGAATACCATTCTTCTTCAGCCACAACCCAAAATCCTTGCTCAGGAACTTTCCCCCTTGATCGGTGCGGATCGACTTCACTAGTCGGTCTTGTTGCCGCTCCACCATCGGGAACCAATCGGTCTTCAACGTTTCAGCCACGTCGCTCTTCTTGGCCAGCACATACACCCAAGTCATGCGGGTGTAGACGTCCACAATGGTGAGAAAGTACTCTGCTCCAGCAGCTCCAAGCTTCAGGGGGCCCACCACGTCCATCACCACCTCATCAAGTGGTGCCTTAGCCGTTGTCTCCGAGCTCGAGAACGGAAATCGGGTGAACTTGGCTTGCATGCACGTCGGGCAGCCAAGCACCTCATCGGGCTCCCCCTTCACCTCATCGGGCTCCCCCTTCACACGTATGCCAGCAACCATCTGGTTCTTCACTAGCTGCTGCAAAATAGGCAGGGCCACATGCCCCATTCGCCGATGCAGAGTCAATGATGATGAGGAGAAAGAGCCAGATGGTGATAATGGTGACCCATGGGAGATAATGGTGAGGGACAAGTGTATGGGAGATTGATGATGTGAGTCATTCTCTGGGAATTTTCAATTTTTTTTCTCACATCAAGCATGTTCTTTAATCATCACAACTAATGAAAATTTTGATTTCGCATACACAGCATTCATCATTCAAGCCATCAATATCCACCCGTCCCAACCCCCTCTCCCGCCTTGTCCCCCAAGCGGTCTTGACGCGGCCCTCACGTCCATCCCAGCAAATGCGGCCGCACACAGCATTCCCTACTCAAACCAACCCCACCCGCCCCTCCAAAAGCCCTCCTCCCCTCCCCACCCTCCCCCCACAATGTCTCCCATGCCACCAACCATCCACCAGGCAGTATTGACGCGGCTTGCTCTGCCATCCTGTCGGATGCCAGTGCACGCAACATTCAAACGTCCTGTTGCCCATATCCACCCGCTCAACCACCCCAACCTCCCATCCCATCCCCACTCCCCACTATCTCCCAGAGCAGTCTTAACGCGGCCCTTACATCATCAGATGCTTCTGCTGATCGATAACGAGGCCCTGGCGTCCGTTCTATCAGATACCGCCGAGCGCAACATTCCTGCCCCCCCCCACCCCACCCTTCATAGCACCCATTCCCCTCCCGTCCTCTCCTCTTCCCCCTGATATCATCCACCAGGCAGTCTTGACGCGGCCCTCTCGTCCATCCCGTCATACGCCGCCACATGCAACATCCTCGTGGTTGTTTCTCTCTCCTGACGACACCTGGCGAAGATGAGTGCAGGTGTTGAATGTGGTGGGGTTTAATGCTCTCATGCATTATTCAGAAAGGTGGGGTAATGCATGCAGCATTCACATGCGCACGGTCTCTCCCTCACAAGACCACCTAACCAAGGGAAATGGGGAGCTGTGGCTGGTGGTTAGGCTGGCTAGGGGTGTTGGTGGACGGTTGTGGCTCTCTTCATACGTCACCTCGCCAAGATGACTGCAGGCTACCACAACGAGGGTGGTTTCTCTCTAGTTCTCAATCGCGTTGAACTTGCTTTGTCAACTTACAAGTTCACCTCACGCTCTCTTTGTTTGGCTTCAATTGGACGTGCTGGCGCGGTGCATTGCCCTCACCCACCTCTTGCCTTGAATCGCCTGCACTGTATAAGTGGCTTCTGAGGCACCTCATAAGTTCCGTGTCCATTTTGGACAAAAATGGGGGCCTTATCTGCATTTACCTTGCATGCACCTCACCTCTTCTCCACGCATTGCATTGACTCTTCTTGCTGCTTGCCTTGCATCACTCGCTCTCGTCCTCCACTGCGTTCCACGGTGCGCTTGCCGAGGCATCAGGCAGATCGACGGGGGAAGAGAACAGACGGTCGCTTTGGACCCATCATGTTGGGATGCATGCATCAGTCCCACCAGTTGGTACTACTGTGCAAAGAATCACTCCCATTGCACCACGATCCCACCACGATCCCACCGTGATCTCACTCCCACCACCATCTCACTCCCACCACCATCTCACTCCCACCAACCTCCATCTCTGCCATGCAGGAAATGAACCCTTCTGGGGCATCAAGAGGTCCACGAGCCACGCAAGCTATAGCCAAGACTTGCTACAGTCAAATTTAGAGTCACGCAGGGAAATTTAGTACCAACAACAGCTCAACGCGGGCAGTTATGGTTGTGTGCCTCTTCTTCTACAAAATGTTAGAAGCAGAGTGTAAGTTACGATAATGCACTGCACTAGTTAATTTTGAATCAAAGGAGCACGTCAATGATCAACTGCGATGATTGAACCTGCAGAGTAAACTTGTAGAATTCGCAGCGAACTTGATTGGAGAAAATCCAAAATAGTACTTAGAAGTCGGTTCATTAAGTTAAGTTTTCTTAAAGAAATGTAATTTCCCGGTGTAGATCACTATGGTTTGTATGATCCGAAGGGTTTGCTTCAACCGGTTCGGCCTATGATTTTGGCCCGAACCACTTCCGAGTCGCTTACGGACCTTTCGCCGCATTCCGAACCTCGAACCAGAAGTTCTCGCCTAGTTCGGCTGTGTCTAGTTAAGCCCTCGTTTAAAACACTCTTAGGACAGACAGCTCTGCACCATTTTTGCAAAAGCCTCGCACTTATAACAGTTTGTTCATATTTTTCGAATTAGCCTACATTCCGTCAGGCCACCACTTGGCGAACAGTTGCCGCTTTCTAGGCCCCGTAGCAGCAAAGAGGACCCGCGTTCAGGATGGGGCGTCAGTTAGTGGCTCAATAGCAGTCGTGTCAAAGCGACGGACAGGGAGACGACAGAGCGACGGACGTCGACAAAACCGCGAATATCGACGGCGAACAAGGAACAGTAGACGAGTGAAGGTTGACAATCATGAGAAAGCGACGAGCCGTCGACGACGTGATAGTGATATTAAAATCGATTCGCGATGGCGATGCCGCGAAAGCAGAGGAGCGAGGAGCAGCAGCAATGGCGGACGGCGCAAGCACGAGTGCGCAGGCAGGGCTCCCGGTGGGGGCGGCTGCCGAGACAACGGCCGCGATGGTGGCGGGGACATCGCTGCGAGCAGCACAGGTCAGGGAGGTGGCGACGGTGGTGGCGTGAAGAGGAGGTAGAAGCCCGCCGGCTGCGCTCCGCCTGGATCATTTCCTCTCTGCCGCCACCGTCGCCAGCGGCACCGCTGCTGCCGCGATCCTCGCTGTGCGCGCGCCCCTACCGCCGCCTCCGCGAGAGCCCGCGCAAATTGGCTTTCACGCCAGTGGGAGGGGGAACGCAGATGGGGTTAGCAGTTTAGGCCAGCCGCGCGCACGGGGAAGGGGAGGCGGAGCAGGGAGGGGAGGCGCAGGGAGGGAAGGGAGTGATAATGCGGTTGCACGTGGCTTGGGTTTGGCATTAACGGAGCGAGAGGTGGGAGAAGACGTGGCAGGGAAAGGAGGGGGCGGGAGTACAAGGGCGGAAGAGGGAGTTGATGGGCAGGTGGAGGGGTGGGGAAGTGCGGGTTAGAGGGATGGAAGGGGGGACAACGCGCGCCAAGACCAAGAGGGTGAGCGCAAAGAATGGCGCAAGGGGGCTGCGAGTGGGGGAACAGGGGGAACGCGGAGGGGGGCGAGAAATGGACGGGTGTGGATAACAACGAGGGAGAGCATGGGTGTGAGGCAAAGGAAGGAGCTGGGAGGGAAACAATGGGGCATCAGGTAGTGTCGCGATGGACGGTGACAAAAAGATGACGGGGGAGGCACAGTCGCGCAGTCGCACAGTTGCACAGGAAAAGAATCCGATTTGCGATGGCGGAGGCGTGAGGAGAAGCGGCAATGGCAGGTGGGGTAAGCACAGTCGAGCAGGGGGGGCTCCCGGTTGCAGCAGCGGCGGAGGTAGGGGCGGGAATAGCACCGTCGCTGCGAGCAGCACAGGCCGGAGTGCCGGCGGCAGCGGCGGCGCGAAAAGGCAGTGGAAGTCCGCGTCAGTCGCGCTCCGGTGCGACCCGGAGTGGTGCGCTCTCACCTCTGCCTCCACCTTCTCGAGAGTCCACAAAAGTAGGTTTGCACGCCAATGGGAGAGGGGGCGCGGATGGGGGCAGCAGTGACGGGCGGCTGCGCGGAAGGGAAGGGGAGGCGCAGGGAGGGGAGAGGGAAGTGAGGATGTGGGCACGTGTGGCTTTAAGGCGGAAACGAGGTGAGGGGTGGGAGAAAACGGGGCAGGCGGCTGAGCAAGATGGGGGAGAGGGGGGGAAGAGGCAGGCGGAAACGTGAGAGGAAAGGGGGGAGAGAGGAAAGGGGGAAGAGTGGGAAGGGGGGACAGAGGGAAGGGGGGAGAGCTCGCGCGAGGGGCAGGAGCGCGGGCGCAAGGCACGAGGGGGGTCGCGAGTGGGGGAACCAGGGGGGACGCAGATGGGGCTGAGAGGGGGAACGGTTGTGGGGTGAACCCAGCAACGTGGGAGAGCATTGGTGTGAGGTGGGGGAAGGAGAGGCAGACACGGAAGCAGAAGCAGGTAAGGCGCATCAGCAGGGCTGTGCTTACTCATCGGTGGGTGGGGCACACAGTCTGGTGAGGAACGAGCATGACAGATGGGGGAAGTGCAGGAGGAGAGGGAGGGGTGGGGAGGATCGGATAAATGGATGCTCAGCACCGCCTGCTGCCTCTGCAACACATCGCGAATGGTAGCTGACAGATTGAGCTGGAGCGAATGGTATAGCGACAAAATCAGAGAGGCCTCTCAGACACGGACTTAAGAGCGAGTATTGAACCTGACTGACGATCGAAGCCGTTGGAGAGCGATTTGAAAGACATAACCGAGTCCAACAGGGCTGCCCAGTCGGACTGCCTTACAGAACAACCATGCCTTCATAGGTCAAGGGACTGCCATAACTAACAAGCAGGTGAGCTCCCCATATTGTAGTACCGTGCTCTCTCCAACCAGTCCTGTAACCAAGAATATGCCATCCATCAAACAGGAATTTGAGGAATTGAAAACTGGCCACATCTGAGTCGTTTGTTAGAATTCGTAAAATTTTCTCATGCACCCTCTCCTAGCACTCGCCTGCCTGAAACCCTCATGCTATCCTTTTCCCCCCCTTCCCCCCGCCACACCAACCCTCCCCGTCCCCTACCCCCTCCCCCTTTTTCCCCTTTCCAGCTCCGCACCTGCCCGGAGTCCAAAAGGGCTGCCCAGTCGGACTAGAGTGGGCCCACCCCACCATGCCTTGGAAGGCATACTAATCTCAGGTCACTTCTGACTCAAGCTCGTGTCAGTCTCGAGTCACTCAAACTCGAACGGTCCTTTGTATTAATATCAGCAATGGACAAGCAAGGTAAGGCAACAAGTCAAAACAGTGGCTAAGCTAAACTATGACTACATGTATCTCTCAATGCTTCGTGCCCTGCAAATCCCTACCCTGGTGCATTCTAAGGTGGCAACGCGGGACTAACGGGGATTGGAAGTATACAACATTGCTCCCTTCTTCCTCCCCTCTTGCCATATCTCACATCATCTCTCAAACTCACCTCACCCACATTTCTCACCTGCATCTCCTTCTGGCAACCCTTCCCCCGAACACTCACTGCGTTCAAGCCCAAACCTACTTTCACAACGGCACTTCCTTCCCCCCAATTGGCGTCGACGAAAGTCCTCCTCCAGAGTCTTTGTCCGCACCCATTCGAGCGTCCACAAGCTCTGGTTCTGCGGCAGGCTCAATCCGCTCGTGAATTGAAGCCACGATTCCGGCAGCAGCGATAGCATCTTCAGGCACTTGGTCTGCTCCGGGTAGGTAATTCCCGCGGTCGCCAACTCCTCGTACAGGTCGCGCATCTTGTCCAGAACCGGTTGAACCCTCGCTCAAGCGCAACGCGGACAGCTCCCTCTCCATCATGAGCGTCGCGGCGACGGAGGTCGGGGCGTGCAGCTCCTTCAACACGGTCCACGCCTTCGGACCGCACTCAACCTCCGGCAGCAGGTGCATGACGTGGTGACGCTGGTTCAGCTCCAAACTCTGCGACATCAAATAGTAGCCAGCCGAGGCGCGCTCGTCCCAATCTTCCTGAAGGGCGGGGTCACTCGGTCTAGGCTCCTCCCCAATCATTAGTTTCAACAAACCGATCTGACGGAAATACAGTTGCATTTTCCAGGCCCAATCATCATAGCCCTCACCATTGAACTTCTCGACGGTGAAGTTTTTCAGCACCTCCTTGATCAGCGAGCCCTGGCTTGTTCGCGCTCCCCTTGGCGCCGAAACACCAGAATCTTGGCTGCCGCTACGATCTTGGGCTGAAGATTCACCAGCTCCCGCCGAAGTGTTGCCCACCATAGCTACCTATAACGAGGATCACTATAACGCAGCTCTGATACCAGCTTGTTGGTGTAAGGGCCTAATAAACTCAAGCTATCAGGACTTAATCAAACTTAACACCTCTCCTCGGGGTCACCTCCAAGGGTCCTTGGGTGCCTGGTACAAGACCAGCCCCTATCCTCGGGTCCGAGTTTGTAGAGAGAGGAACCAAGAATGACTTAGCCAAAATAACAAGAGTACCTTGAACGTTGCGTAGCGTATCGTGCAGACCATCGATCGGATTAAGCTGAGAATTTGCTATATTGAAGCTCGCTCCAAGAGCTTTAAAATGAGCCTTGCGAAAAGTTATGCCATTACGAAGTTATGGCTCGGACAGCGTTTGCTTAGCGTTGGAGTGCTAGCGTACTAGCGTTGACTCGGTAGCATTCCGCCATCGAACCGCGTAGAAACGAAATTCCAGCAAGGAAGGAATCCGCTTGAATCAATTGACTATATCCAGGTACAAACAGAGAATGAATAATTGTTCTAGCTAGCAAGGACCTTGGGAATCAACCTGGGAACAACCAGGGATGATCCCAAATAATTCCAAGCAACAGATCCAACCTGGCTGGACAAAACAGCAGGTGGTAGGTTGGAAAACAACCTCTGGTTCTGTTTTTCCAACCTGGGAAAACAACAACCAGGTTCAGGTTCTAAAACAGAACCTTTTTTGTCTTTGCCCAACCAGCCAAATGCTGGTCCTGCTGGTTTCCCCTGGCCTTATAGCATGCAGATACAGAAAAACAACATCCAACCTTCATCTAAATTGTACCCCTATAGTGCCTGCCCTGCTACACTATAGTCAACCAAACAAAACCCAATTTCGAGTTGGATAGAACTGAATCTGCGCAATCAACCCAACCGAACTGCAAAGCTTCCATCTTGGGTTCCTTAGTGAACTCGTCCTTTCTTCTTGCACTTTTCATAGGGCGTACAATGTTGTGCCGAAGCGCACATTGCGTGAGTACCTGCAAATGCTTCAAGCAAAAATTGCGAAAGCAAACATAACGCACGAGCACACCATTCACACACAAATGCATTCGCACACGCATACTCGTACAAACAGACGGCAGAATGTCGTGCAAAGTGAATTTGAACCCACCACACTCCCCCTCAGCCTGCCGGCTGCACTGCCATCATTCCGTGCTAGTTCATGCTCATTCCACTCATGCGCACACAACGCCAATGAGGCTCATCCGCAAGCCTCTTGGTGAGAAAGTCTGCTGGCTGCTGGTGAGTCTTGATGTAGATCAGATTCACCGTCCCCCTCTTCACCTCCTTACGCAGCCAATGCCACTTGATACACATGTGCTTGTTCAGCCCATGAAGCACAGCGTTCCTAACCATCCCAGGAGCCCCCTTGCTGTCAAAAATCAGCGGCGTAGCAACCTTCTGCTCCTGGCCAATCTCCTCTAACAGCCTCCTCAGCCAAATCACCTCCTTCACCCCATGAAACATTGCCATGTACTCTGATTCAACAGAGGAGAGTGCCGTCTCCGTCTGCTTCTTGGACCTCCAACTAACAGGTCCACCCCCAACTACGCAGATGTATCCTCCCACAGATGAGGAAACCTCCCTCTCAGAAGCCCAAGTAGCATCAGTAAAGCAGGTGAGAAAGAGCTTGCCTTCTCCAAGCGTCTCACCCTTCTCCTTCAGCACCTCAACCCCTTTCTGCTTCACCTGTGCAGATGCAGAGTATTGAACTCCAATGCTTGGGTGGGAGTTCAGATACTTCACCACACGCTCAGCTGCATCCACCTGCTCCTTTGATGGATTCTGCACCACCCTAGCTAGCTGCCCAACCGAGAAAGAGATGTCGGGCCTCGTGTGAACCGCTGCATACAAGAGGCTGCCCACCAAGGACTGAAATTGCTGCTGCTCCTTGGCTTCAACCCCTTCATCCTCTGCAGCCTTTACAAGCTTGAATTCTGCTGGCAGGGGAGTTGCAACCTTGCGCTCATTCTCAATCCCACACTTCTCCCCCAGCTCCTTGATAAACTTCTCCTGGTGCAGCTTCAACCATCTGTGATCTGGATCCCTCTCCACGTGCATCCCGAGGTAGTACTTTACCTCCCCAAGGTTCTTGCACTTGAAGTTCTCCATCAGCTGCTGCTGCACTTTCTGGATCTCCTTCATGCTGCTGCTGAAGAGAAGAATGACATCTACATAGACCAGAAACTGCACCTGCTTCTCCCCCTCCCCCTTGAGAAAGACTCTCGTCACAGCTGCTGGTCCTGAATCTCATCTCCTCTAAAACAGCTGCCAACTTCTGGTACCAGCAGCGTGGCGCCTGCTTCAAGCCGTAAATATATTTTTTTAGCTTGCACACTCTGCACGTACCATCCTCATACCTAGGAGGCTGCGTCATGTACACATCCTTATCTAAAATCCCTTTGACAAATGCCGTTGATATATCCATCTGAATAATGAATTTCCCACTAACAGCTGCATCTGCCAACAAGACACGGAGGGTAGGGGGTTTCACAGTGGGAGCAAAGATCTCGTTGAAGTCCTGCTTCTCCTTCTGCGTTAACCCTTTAGCCACCAGCCTACTCTTGTAGATGGTGACCTGTCCCTTGTCATCGGTCTTGATCCTTAGCACCCACTTGCACTGTACGGCTTTCTTCCCCTCAGGCAGCACCACCAGATCCCATGTCCCATTCTCTAGCAGGCTCTGGTACTCAGCATCCCTAGAAACCAGCCACTTCTCCCTATCTGGTCCAGCTAATGCCTCCTCTATGCTAGCTGGTTCCTCTGGTGCAGGGGTAAGAAAACAGTAGGCAGGTTCATCCTCCTCATCCAGGTCATAGCCATGAGGTAGAATCAGCATTGCCTCCTCGGTCCCAAGCTGCTGCTCTGCTACACCTGATCCTGCAGTCAGCTTCTTAGTAGCCATACGGGTACGTCCTGGCCTGGAGACGGGTGTCTCCCATCCCTTTATAACGACACCCTTCGGCTTCTTAGCTTTCCCCTGCTCGGTGCTTCTTTCCTCCCTCGGATCCAACAGCTTCACTGGTGCTATCGCCAGCCTCTCCTCCACCAGCAGGTGCCTCCTGTACTTTTTCTCCATCACCATTCCCCGCAGCTGCCTCCTCTCCCTCCTCCCACACATTAGGAGTC